TCGTCTGCTGATTACGAATGTGATGTCCGTTATCAGCGACCCCAAAAACCCCCGAGTAACGATTTTCAAGTCAATTGGATCGATTTTCAAAAATGTCGTCCGCCATATTGGATCCGCCATTTTGAATTTTTAAAAACGGGCATCATATTCGTAATCAGAGACCCCAAAAACCTCCGAGTAACGATTTTAACGTCAATTGGAATGATTTTCAAAAATGTCGCCCGCCATATTGGATCCGCCATTTTGAATTTTTAAAAACGGACTTTAGATTCGTAATCAGCAGACGAAAATCTTAAGGGAACCATTTGGTCTGATTTTTTTTAACATTATTATTCGATTATATTGCATATTCTAATTTTGGACATGGCCCCCTTTGACCCCCTGTATTTCGGAAAGGGGGCACATGCTCATCTTGAAATTTTGCAGGGATTATTGGGTCATCATATGTAACCATTTGGCATAAAAAAAGTTTCAAAATTCGAGGTACGAAAAAGGGGCATTTTTTGCATGGGGCATGCCGAGGCTCTTTTTTTCAAAATCGTTATCAAATCGGATAAGCTGATGACATAACGTACCTTTTTTAAAAAAAGAGTATTTTTTATGTAAAACTCTTTCTAATACATTTTTTTATATCTCTATAGTACGTACATGCCTGAGCTGGGTCCATCGGATTCAGGCAACTTTTTTTTCATGTACTTCAACATATTCGCTTGAAAATCGTTACTTGAAGGTTTTCGGGGTCGCTGATTACGAATGCGGTGTCCGTTTTTCAAAATTCAAAATGGCGGATAACTTTTTAAAAAATCGTTCGGATTCGCTTGAAAATCGTTACTCAGGGGTTTTTGGGGTCGCTGATTACAAATTTGATGTTACTTTTTCAAAATTCAAAATGGCGGAACCAATATGGCGGATATATTTTTTTAAATTTGACGATTTTGCTTGAAACTTGTTATTTAGGGGTTTTCAAGGTCGCTGATTACGAATCTGATATTAGTAAATTGTATTGATTTTTAATTTTCCTGTATGCCATATTGGATAAGCCATTTTGAATTTTGAAAAATGGACATAAGATTCGTAATCAGCGACCACAAAAACACCCGAGTAACGATTTTCAAGCGAAGCCGAATGTTTTTTTTTATTCGTCCGTCATATTGTATTCGCCATTTGGAATTTTCTAAATCTGACGTCGAATTCGTAATCAGCGACCCCAAAACTTAAGAATACCCATATCAAATTTATTTAATTTATTATTTCTTTTGTACTGTACACTTAAGTTCGCCCTATCGAAAAAGGTGTTACGAAACGACTTTTTGTGGGCTATTTATGTACCCTAGAGTGTCAAAGGATTAAATATTTTTTGCAATTATATTTGCATAATATTACAATTATAATTAAGAATAAAAATATTGAATATCCTGATATTAAATCTATTTTTTTTTTTTTAATGAAATTTAAGCAACTCAGGAACTCACGTCCAAACATGAACTCAGGCACGTGAGGGTTAAAGAAATTATTTCTTTGAAGCAAAGAATTCTTTTTTCTGAATTTCAGAAATTAGTTAATTTGAATTTAGGCAATAAACTGCGTAAACAATTTCGATGAAGAATTCAATTTATCCAATATTTTTCGATTAAAATGTAATTTAATATTTTTGATAAAAAGGAAATGAGAGGTAATTTGTTGTAACGATAAAAGCATAATAAAAAAAAAAAAAAAAAGAATTCCTACAGCGTCGATAATGATTAAAGAGTTAGTGGTGTGGGTTGGAGTCAAGGGGAGTAATTCTGTGGAGGGTGAGGCGCAACTAGCGCAGAGGAGAAAAAAGGCAAAGTATATTGCTGAACAATGAGAACGCAACTGGAGTGTGTGAAGTGCAATATTTCTATATACAGTTCGCCACAGCTGTACAATCATTATATATTTCGTATCTCAAAATTTTTCCATATTCTTTTTTTTCTTCTAACACTCACTAAAATATTCTCTATATAAAATAATGAAAACTTTCAACTAAAGTAGCTAAAATTTTATGAGTTTACACTGCAAAAAAAAAAAAAAAAAAAGGCGAATACATAAAAGTAAGGTTCGGATTATTGTACCAGTTTTACATATAAAAGATTCACTGAAAATTTTGTTGTATTAAAATAAGACTGTTGCAGCTTATTTTAACACAATTTTCTGTGTATTATTAATTAATTATATTTTTTATTCTTTCTTTTTTTTTGGTCTCCTCTTGATAAATTGTAAAACAAGCTACGCAAATTATAATTTTATAGTGAAAAGGGGTATATAATTTCGATGAAAGTGTGTAACTGAAGCTTTGAAAGGATTATTAAATAGAAATTTTTTTAACGGCAGATATTTTTCAAAACAAAATAATAGGATTTAATTAAGAGATTTAATTCATCGCGAGAGGAGGTCATTTATCCTCTTTAGTTACTGCACATTCTTTTTCATTGTTTTTTTTTTGCCATTTATTATTGTTTCTATTTTTAACAAGCTTTCACAAATCTTTAGGTATATGTATACACACTGTATTTACGAAGTGAAGATTTAAGAAAATTTAATAACGTTGAGAAAAAAAGAAATTACAGATGAAAAATCGAAATATATTTATTTAAAATTTTGCAAAAAAAAAGAGAAGATTTTATAAACAATTTTTTTTCAATTTTATAGACCAATTATTGCGTATATAATAATTAAGGAATTTTTAAATAATGTAGGTACATTATTGTCTCGACAGTTATTAAATATGTAGGTCGATCTGACCATTCGACTCATACCACCTTAAAAAAGGGATAAAGACGACAGATACAGTTTTTCATTTTCCCTCGACCACTTAAGTCAATTTAGTATCGTATAATATCGTAGAAAACTCTATTTAAAAAGACAATTGAGAAATGAATGAGCATATTGGAATGAAAAATAGTTTTATAAGAATGTTAAATTTATGTTTAAATAATATTAATTGTGATTAAATTTCTTTTCTCATTTTCTTGTTATATTTATTAAACTATAATTTATGAAATTGCTTAAAATGTTTTTTTTTATTAATATTAATAACAAAATAATCGAAATAACAGAAAAATAATAATTTTTGATCATCCAAAAAATAAATGTTTTACTGTTTTAGAAAAATAACACATAAAATAACGCACATTTGTTTTTGATAAAAAAGAAGAAGTCGATAGACAAGGTTGGGTTGTCAAGATGATAAAAGTGCATTTATACCTCCGGAATTTTAGTCGAGCCACTGTTAAAGGCCTAAGCACAATAGAAACATAACCTGAATCATAATCGCAAACGCAAACGGAAGAATTAGTAAGAGAAGAACAACAATATATGACTATCCTTCTCTAACTCATTCTTCCGGTTGCGGACCCTACCTAAAGGCTACTGCGCTTGCGCTACGACAACTCTCTTATAGGTCAAAAAAAGCGCGCTTATATAAAATGCTTAATAATAAGAAAACGTTAATAAAGCAATATAAAACTATTTTCACTATTGAATTTATTTTTTTTGTTAATTATATTGCTTTTTAATAAAAAAATATTAATTTACTTAATGTACTTAAGTATGTAAAAATAATTATAATAATAATTATAATATTAATAATTTTATTATATTTATATCATTATTGTTATTATTTTTTTATAAAATATATAATCTATAATTATTATCAATTTAATATTTATTAATTAATTATGTAATATATTATTTATTTTTGTTATTATCATTAAATTGTTATTTATTAATTATCTATGATATATACATATATATTTTTTTTAAAATTTAGCGAAATTTTTTTGTACTTTTTTATGAAGAAAATTTGAATTGGGAAAAAAGTACAAAAAAAATTCGATTCATTTTTTTGAAATATATAGATGTAATACATTCATAGATATTTAATAATAATTTATTGAAAATAATAATAATAATAAATATTATATCGATGATAATAATAATAGATTATGAATATTTTATTTAAAAAATAATTTCAATAATGATATAAATATAATAAAATTATTATTATTATTATTATTATTATTATATACTTAAGTATATTAAGGAAATTAGTATTTTTTTATAAGGAAGCAATATAATTAACAAAAAAAAAATTCAATAGTGAAAATATTTTTATATTGCTTTATTAAAGTTTTCTTATTATTAAGCATTTTATATAAGCGTGCTTTTTTCGACCTATAAGAGAGTTGTCGTAACGCAAGCGCAGTAGCCTTTTGGGTAGGGTCATTGGCAACTGTGATTACGATTCCTGTTACGTTTCTATTGTGCTTAGGCCTTAAGTCAGCTTAAAGCCCTAAACACAACACGAGATAGAAAAGGATACAAATATATATCTATCCTTTTCCATCGCTCAGCTATTTGTTACAGCAGTTCTACAATACTTTCTTTACATGGTTGGTTTCCACTGTCCCAACTCGACAAAATCCCCACCTGCCATTTGTCATAATTTTCGTCAACTACCACACCCTGCTCTAGTAAAAATTTAGTAACTTCATAGTAAATTTTAATTTTACCAATTGTGATTGGCTAAACTTCAATACGCTACCTGGTGTTTACCTACTTCAAACAACCATTTTTCTTTTTCGTCTTTCTTTAATTAACACAATAGAAAGAGAAATAAAAACAAAAATGTCTGACGAAGTAGATAAAAGTCACTAGACTGACAATCCCAATAAAGTCACTAAATCACTAGAGCAGAGTACGGTAGGTGACGAGAATTATGACAAATGGCGAGTGGGAACAATGAAAACCAACCACATCAGTAATTTTGAAAATTACCCAAAAAATAAAATATTGACTTTAATAATAATAATAATAATAATAATTGTTGTTTATTTCACGATTTAAAAAGCGTTGGAATTAATTGAAAAAATTAATAATAGCTGAAATGTTGCTGTTGCATAGAAGGAAAAGGAAATTCATTTCTAACAGGAGAATTTGAATATTATTTTGATATGTGATAAATTTTCTTTTTTCAGGAAGCGTATAGAAAATGGGTGTGCAGCTCCCTGGTGCCTTACTTTGCTCATGGGGGACCGCTGGAATTGGAATCCACGCAGATATCTTGGGCCGGAAAAAGATTACGGCCCTGTCGGTCCTTCTGCCAATCCGTGGAACAACGCTGTCCTTATCTACTTCCGGGTGATCGTGCGCCTGCATACCCCACACAATACGCAGGCGAACCTACATTTCTTTGTCAAGGTTAGTATATAATTATATATGTGAAAAACATTTTCCAAATCATTGAAAATAAAAAAAAAAAAAAAGTAAAACAAATATCTTTTTAAACAAATTCTTTACATAGTTATTATTAGAGGATTTCATTTATATTTTTAAGTATTTCAATTATAGGCACAATATCGATAAAGACTTAAGCAAAATGACTACGATTACGACTACGTGTATGAAAAACATGAGATAGAAAAGGACAGATATAGTCTCTGTCCTTGTCTATTGGGAACGGTGGTCTAGTAACAATCTAGTAACTTTGACCCATTCTCTTCCTCCATTTCGTTTTTTCTACTCTTTCTAACCTATTAATTGAAGAGAGACAAAGAAAGAAAATGGAGGGAGAGAATGGGTCCCCACTAGATGGCGTGTTGCAGTTTAGCCGATCCCAATCTCATGTTTCCCGTACTCGTATTCATAACCGGAGTCATTCTGCTTAAGCCTTAAGCGGTGTTTACATGATTGCATTCAAACTCTGTGTTTTGCATTGAACAATGAGTTTAACAAGAATGAAAGTATATATCTATCTTTTTCTCTCTCTCATTATTTAATACAAAACGCAGCGTTCGAACGCAAGCATGTAAACACCGCCTTAACTGTCAAAATTACCCACTGGCAGAGTTGGAAAATTACGCGTAACTTTAAGGTTTTTGATGTATATTACATACATTTTCTACGTATTACACGTATATTACCAGGTAATATACACTCGTGGCCAGATATGCCTACAAATTTTTATCCTTTTCTAACGCACGTGTTGCCATGACAACATGTGAGTTAGTAAAGGACAAAAAAGTGTAGGCATATATACGGCCAAGAGTGTATATATAGAAAATTTCTTTGATTACGTCAAGTAACTTACGTTCCGAACACTGCCTACTGGAAAAATAATTCTCGTCAACTACCGCACCCTGCTTTAGTGAAAACTTAGTGACTTTATAGTAACTTTTAATTTTAACAATAAAGTCATTAAATTTTTACTAGAGCAGGGTGCGATAGTTAATAAGAATTATGACGAGTGGGGACAATGGCAAATTTCCTAAGCTAAAATTTGTTAAGGCTGATATATAATACATACAATACAAATGAAAATTTGGTAAATTTGTCTAGTGGCATATTTATAAAACTACTGGTAAGCCATTTATCAATTGTCACATTTGAGGAGTAACCAAATTTTTTTTACCATACAGTAATAAATCAAAATAAATATTTGCTTAAATATAAAAGAGGGTACAATATTTTTTAGCACCTTCTTTACTGCTTCTTTTTAAATATATATTTTTATGATTCTTTGTATTAATAAAAATTTGATAAATTTATATAAAATAAATTGACAATGGCCATTTGAAAATGTTTACAGATCCTAATATTCCTGAAACGGGGGAACAATCAGTGAGAGCATTGCATGGCGATGAGAAGAATGAATGTTGCTTTCGTGTTTGTTCTGAAAATGAACCAGGACTGGGTATTTGCGCCAACTGTACAGATCAAAAACCCCATGGAAGTGTTGTTATTTCCGATCCTTCAACAGCACCTCATTGCGAGATTAATCCTGTTACCATTTCATCTGGTAAAGGAGGTAATTTATTTTCAATTTCATAAAGAGGGCTAAAATATTTTCTGAATATATATAAGCAATGTTCCAAATTTTTATAGATATTGAATCCCAATATTATTTTATCAACTACATTCAGAGAAAAGTGGTTAAAAAAAAAAAAAATATATATATATTATTTTTTTGTATTAACACAATTTTTTGTATATTTCAAACAAAATTTGTTTGATTTAAATACATATTTTTATTTGATCTGAATAAAAGTTTGATTTATTTTTATAAATTTTTCGCTTAGAAAGAATTTAATTTAATCGCTGTTATTTGCCAGAGTATTAAGTTCTTTTTTTTCAAAAAGTTTATTTTTAAAAACTTGCATATTTGAGGAAATATGCCGGCAATACAATTTTAGTTATTTCCCCAAATATATGCAATTTTTTAAGAGTCAAAGTTTTGACAAAATATTAATGTAAATAAACACTACCAAAGTCAAGATTCTTGGAAAAATTTTGAATTTATTAATATATTTACAGATTTATCACCTGAGAGATATCTTCAACTGTCGAATTTTATTGACATTTATTTTTTTCATTGAATACATCATTTTATTTAAAAAGTTTATATAACCCCCCAAAAAAGTCACATTTCAGACGTTTTACTTTAAATTACGTAATTTTTGTTCTATGAACTCTGGTTTACACTCATAAAGGCCAACGCACAATAGTTTCTCGAAAGTCGTTCGCGAATGAGATACATGTGATAGAAAAGGATACGAATATATCTCTGTTCTTTTCTAACTCATGTTTCACGTTCGCGAACGTCTTTCGGGAATCTATTCTGCTTAGACCCAAGGGGCGCAAACAGAGATGGGTACGTAGAAAACCTCGAGTCTAATACAAGGTATTTTACGTGTAACATACATGTACTATTCATGAGTTTTCTACATGTGTATTATACATAAGACTAATTTTGAGAAACATAACCCTAAATCTGCTTATTTCGAATTTCCAATTTTCAAAAGTTCTGATATTGGCAAAAATTAATTATCGATGCTTTGATAAAATTTAAATTATATTAGTATTTCTCTTTTAAATTGAGAACGAAAGCACATTTAAAATGTTAAATTTTTTTACGAAACTATTGCAAATAAGATAATATTATTAAACTCAACTAAAAGTTCTCTATTGACCAATATTTAAATATTTTATTTATTAATTAATACTTATTTACCAACAATAAACCAGAAAGTAAATAACAAAAAGAGGTTATGTTGCCATTAATACGGCAAAAAAAACCTTTAAAAAAATTTTAAAGAACTGTGAATTGTAAACTCCCCTTTAATTTGTTGTGATAACCATTAGTACAGGTTAAGGCCTAAGCAGAATAAATTCTTGAACGGGAACGCAATCGTGAACTGAAACGTAAAAATGAGTAAGAGAAGGATAGGAAATATCTTTATTCTTTACTCACTCATTCTTACGTTTCCGTTCACGGTTGCGCTCCCGTTCAAGAATCTATTCTGCTTTTGCCTTTAAGGCCTGAGCAGAATAGAAACGTAACCGGAATTGTAATCGTAAACGCAACCGGAAGAATGAGTTAGAGAAGGATAGATAGATTGTTTGTGCTTCTCTAACTTAATCTTCCGGTTACGTGTACGATTACGATTCTTGTTACGTTTCTATTCTGCTCAGGCCTTTAGTGTATTTGCACTTTGTAATAGAAAATAATATTTTGTTAATTATTAATTACATATATGGTTTTACTTTTTTTTTTTTACTTTATTGTTGGTGTCGTAATATGTTCCATAAATTATATTACAAATATTGTTGATCAATTTAATCGAAAAATAACATTAAATCAATTGAACCAAAATTTTTTTGAAGAAATAAAATAGCTATATCTCATTAATTTTATTTCTTTTAAATGAAAAATTATAATAACAAAATTTACGTATAATAGAAAACCAGAATGAATTTTCTTACATTGGGGTGAATTGCGGTGTTAACTCTATTTACTCGAAATTGGTTTTTCTGTAATAAAGAATTCTAACAAGAAGAGAAAACTTTCTAAATTTTCTACGTAAATAGTTCAGCTTGAAAAGTAAAATCGGATTTTTCCCTCTGTCGTGTCAGTATAAAGTCGGTTTGATAGCTTTTGTTATTAAAATCAAGTTGAAAATTTGTTTAAACTTCATTTTGTGATCCCTATATATGTATATATATATATAACTTGGCAGATTTTTTATTTTTTAAATACGGCAAAATTATATGTTCATAGTAAAACCCAATAATTTGAAAATTTCCAGAAATATAAAAAAAAAAATATTAGAGAAAAATTACTTGGGTAAATCAATATCTTTGACAAATTTTTCTTTAATACAAAAAAATTTATTTGTATCAAACTAATTATTATCTTTGATTAAAGAAAAATTATCTTCGTTTCAAAGAAATTTTTTATTCAATTCAAATAAATGTTTCTTTGACCCTACCTTGGCGGATTGTGATAACCGAGAAGTTGACGGAATTCGGTCAAGTTTCGGTTCGATTGGGTTTGAGGCAATATATTGCAAAAAATAATTGAAATATAGGGAAATTTGCTATTGGGAAGTATAAATTAACGATTTTTTAAGTTGATTTATATAAAATTATGGGGTAATTAAATAATTAACGTATTCAAAGTCTAGTGTATTTACCTGTCATGATTTATTCTATTTTGTGAATGAAAAAAAATGAAAATGACTCAAAATGAACTTTTTTCCTATTGAATTAATAGTGATATTATTTATTTTTCTTATTTATACAATAAAATAGTACTTAATAATAATTAATAATAAAAATATAATAAATAGTAATAAAATTAACATTAACGGACAGATTAACAAAATTATAAAAAACAAAAAATATAAAAGAAAATTATCAAAATAAATAAAAATAAGTACAAAAAATAGAAAAATTATACAAAGGATACAATATACAAAAATAATGAAATAAATTAATATACAAAATAATAAAAATATAATAATTTACAAAAATAGTGAAAATAAATAAAGAACGATTTACCAAATAATACAATGAAACAAAAATTTAGCAATCAGTCATTCTCTTAATCGTCAGAAAAAAAATGAACGTAAAAAAACAGCCATAAGAGAAATAGTATCTGGAGGCAGAATTGAAATTTTAATTAATGATCACAGAAATAGGAGAAAATTTTTTTATTTATTATTTAACCTATTCTAATATATTCCACTCGGACGTTAAAGATTTGATAATTGCTTAATTATTTCTTTAATAAAACCGTGTAAATTTTAAAATAAGTAAATAAATAATTATTTTTATAATGAAATTTGGAAAAATTTCATTCCATTATAATAAATTAATACACGGAAAAAAATGGAAAAACGAAGAAAGTAACTTTTATTACTTTAAAAGTAAAATCGGTACTGCCCGCAGTTTCTGCGCATTTCTGTTAATTTTTAATCCAGAAATAGTTAAAAATATTCCGAAAATAGTAAATTTTACTTTTTCTGTATAGTAAAAATTGACAGAAATGCGCAGAAACTGCGGACAGTTCCGGTTTTACTTTTAAAGTAGTAAAAGTTACTTTATTCGTTTTTCCACTTTTCACTATGTATAAATAAATATTTATTTATTGCAAACTTAGGGGCCATTCATTAATTACGTAAGGACGATTTTGGCTAATTTTGACCCCCCCTACCCCCATGTAAGGATACATAAGATTTTTCGGACCCCCCCCCTCCCCCTTCTTACGTAAGTTTTTAACAATATTAATGTAATTAAAAAATTAATTACATCAATACAAATGGAAAATACTTGGCAAAATCTTACGTGAGATTAGCTTCTACCCCCCCCCCCACGTAAAACCATGTAGAGATTTTATAAACCCCCCCTCCCCCTAAGGACCCTTACGTAATTAATGAATGGCCCCTTATATGTATAGAAAATATTTTGCTGTTTTAGATAAATCTTTCCTTGCGTTATTACGATAAATTTTTTTACCCTCTTTGTTAAAAAATAAAACATTTATCAATTTACTAATTTTGAAAAAAAACACATAATTTAAAATCTTGCTTTAATTTGTGAAAGGCTTTGGATATAATTTAGATTTTAGATGATAAGTCAGTTAAATTACGGAAAGGATTTTAGGATATAACTTGATACCTGAGGAAGTATATGCGCTAGAGTCAGTATACTAAAAGCATAATAGTTCGCGACCTGTATGGCTGGTTAATCAACATGTCGATAAATTTATCTGCCAGGTAATTCCATTGCAACCGCAGAGTGAAAGGAGCCATTACTAAAATCATCCAATCCACAAGTCCTTTAGCTGATGATAGATCCTTTATCAAGAGATGGAGCAACAGGCTCCAATTCTGATACCTTAGAATCTCACATAGTTTAGAAACTTCATTAATAATAAGAATAGAGAGGTTTAATCAACCCTAAGATATATATATATATATGTGTATAATTTTACTCACACAAAAACACAAGACAAAGTTCATGTTTCTATAATATCAAAAAATTCCCAAAAATTTTTTTTTTATTATTTTGTTAAATAATTACAATAGTAAAGAATATGTTGAAACTCACTATATTTATTTTAACCATAATTTTATTTTATTTTCTATTTATATATAATTACAACTATAAGTATATATAAATAATTGCCATATTGCAAATTTTATGAATATATATTGTGATTAACTTAATACTAACCACAAATTTCATATATTTATTATATAGTAATAGTAAAGCTTAATGAATATAATTATCTTTGACATTATGAGGGCTTTCAACATATGAAAAAATAATTATCTGTTGAAAGCTTTTCCGTATTGAATGAATTGCAGTAAAAGTTATATGAAATATTCCCTAGATTAATTAAAAATTATGTTCAATATTAAAATTTTACACAAATATAAAAACATTTTTCATTACATAAATGTAGAGAAATTAATAAAAATCAGTGTAAAAAAAGCAGTGCAATTATTATTATTAAACCAAAAT